AAAAAAAAAAAAAAAAAGAAATTCAAATCGAATTGTCTGAAGAAAGTAAAGAGCGAAGTAAGTATCGCCTGTTTTCCAAACGAGCGACGATAATCGAGGATCAGGGTGTAATCGAGGTATCATAAGTGGCGTGGGCAATTAGTATTCTCGTACAGCCATCGTCAGCAGGCTTGGATCCGCCGTTCTAAAGACCCGTTTCGCGACTCTATCTCGTCTCGAGAAACTAATTCGACGAAAACCATAAGAACGGACGTTTGGCTACATCCCACGGCATTAAGGGTGTTCTCACGCGCGTATCTCCCGAGGAGGGGGAGTGTCGCGGCGAGAGGGGGGCGAGTCAGCGGGTTTCCGAGTCGTCGTCGCCTGGAAATAGCTTTGGCAACGAGAGAAGACGCGCGGTGCCGTCTTGCTTCATAAAATGGGAGATCGCTAACGTGTTGCTTTTTCAAACCCCTCTCCTTCTTCTCCTTCTCCTTCTGCTTCTCCTTCTTCTTCTTCTTCTCCTTCTTCTTCTTCTTCTTCGTCGACGTCGCGCCTCGTTCCGCTTCTCGTCCTGCACACCGGCTAATATAGATCATACCGCTAACGATTCCTATTAGAGTTGTCGTTTGCCTCGTAATAACCGAGACTTTGTCGAATTTGTCGAATTTGGCTGGTGGTCGAGGGACGTTTCTTCGCGTTTCTTGATTTAGAGATTGGATTCGCGTATATTTATTTAAGAATTGCGTAATTTTTCTTTTCGATCAATATTCCGTTCATTATTATCGTATCGATCGAGGTATTAGTTTTTTCGATATTCTCGAGTTAAATTTTTTTTTTAATTTGTTAAGTAATGTTGGAACGATTCGAAGTCAAGTCGAAAATTCGAAAGATCGATGCTACTGGGTATAATTATCTTTTCGATGATCGAATCACAAGTTGATGTTATTGGTGATTGATAGTTTGAATCGAGTTAAATCGGGGGTTACAATCGATTCTATGGAAAGGAATTAAGATTGACTAAAAGATTTAAAATAATGCATCCCCTCTCGTTATTATTCGGATATTCCATGCGCAACGTTTCTGAATCCCGTCTCTTACGAAAGGGAAGTTAAGGGATAATTAATCACCATGCTGCAGGTAATTAATTAATGTTCAATTTAATGGAAGGGTTGTAATTAGTCGAAACGCAAAACGAAATTTATAGAATGTATTTACGTAAGAAATAATTAGGTGCATCCGCCTGGATAATGAAGTAATTGATTCGCATCCATTCACCCACGTTTTAAAAAATGATGAAAATGAATAACGATTAATCCGATTCGTGAATTCGTGAGTTTCAATTCTCGAAATAATTATTTTCTTACGGTTGTTTCGTTATTGGATTCTTCATTAAAATAATTCGTTTTGTTTCACTCGATGACATCTCTTTCTTTTTTTTTTAAATAAGAAACTTTTTAAATTTCGAAATTTAAAAAAAATGAAATTTTTATCAATCCACTTTCTTAGCTTCGAACATTCTCAAGTCAAGTGTGTGTTTCACCATATCCTCATCGTCATCATCATCAATCGTATCCTCGAATTATACAAAAATCGTCCAAGACAATCGAAGGATTAAGAAAATTCTTTCGTTCGCGAAAATTCTTGTTTACCTTCGTTCATTATGCGAAACGCGATTTCGAGTTATTTTTCATCAGCTCGAAACGAA